CAGCAGCAGCAGCAGCAGTACTAGTATAGCAGCAGCAAGCAACCTAGCGCAAAGCCCGGCGACGTCCGCGTGCTAGTCGTGGTCGGAGGCAGAGTAGTAGTCAACAGTTGGACAAGCGGTGTGGCTAGCAGCTATGGCCACAGTGTTCATGCTGTGCTAGCAAAAGAGTATATATGGCTAACTACTTTCGATGCCACCAGTAGAAATCAAATAATTGTTGCTGTAAAGGCGCCTACTTTCTCAGGCGGGTACGATACCGAGGTCGAGAAGAGTTTGGGGTTTTGCAATGTCGAGCTCTAGGCTGCCTGGTGATTTCTCTCCATGATAATACCCGTGTCGCTGTTGAGTGCATGTGAACAAACACCACAAATGGCTCAAAATGTCGGCATTTTCTTATTGACACGTGCATACCTCGTTTCGCTTCCAACGCCACATTTTTACGTGCGTGCACACACGCACACACAAATATACATATATATATATATATAATATGGATACATCTATATAGAAACATGTATGTGTATATGAATATGTATATCTGCATGTATACCGCGTAGAAAAAGTTTGGGGAATTTCACGAGACCAGGATTCCTTTACTAACACCTGCGTACATTTTCTTAAAGGACGAACCTCTTACTTCTGAAGCTCCAATGCATCACCATCCAGTCGCCACGGCGACGGCAGCGCCGCAGCCCACAACCTTAAAGCAGGAGGAGCAGGCCAGCTGAGCGGGGGGAGAGTTGGAGCAACGGGTTTGGATCGCTCTGTTTTTCCAGAAGTTCAGTAAATACAGTCTGAAGACTCTGGGCATTGAGGATTTTGAGGCTAAGGGCAAGTTTTCTGGGATTTCATTCAACGTTGACCCCTTCGAACGCATGCGCGCCCGCCGTGCTTCCAACTGCCTGACTTTCCATGAGGCGATCCTTAAACCCTAAACCCCTAAACCCTAAAGATCGCCTAGATTGTCCGAGTGTGAGCGCCGAAACCCTAAAGATCTCGGTCACGAACTTCAAGTTGTCAGTTGTCAGCCGGTAAGTCTTGGCCTCTCGGTCCAAAATCTGGAACCTGAGGCTCAGAAGCCTTAAACTTTCTAGTCCCCAAGCCGCAGTCGAGAACCAAAATACTACCTTAAGAACCCAAAACCTACTTTTTTGTAGGGTCCCTTTAAATCCCACATTAGGGTTTATAATAAGAACCTACAAAAAAGTGGGTTTGGGGTTCTTAAGGTAGGAGCCCAAGCACGCTGCCACAAGGACCCCAATCCCGAACCAGCCGAGATCTAAGCAGGGTTTAGGGCCGTTTAGGGTTTAGGGTTTAGGGTTTAGGGTTTAGGGGGTTTAGGGTTTAGGGTTTTTAAGAGCAGAAGGCCTTCTTGTCGGGTTCCAAGGCTCATTGGGGTTTTAGGGGTGTTGCGGCCTTTCAGGGCTTTGGTTTCGGGCCTTAGATTTTTAAGAGCTCTGTTTTCGGGGGCTCTCTGAAGCCCAAAGGCCCACGTACGGCCGACCCTATAAAGAGTAGCGCTGTTCATGCCAATATGATCCCGATGCTCGGGAGAGAGGGAGTCGCGCAGCTGTATCAGATGTACCTGTCAGTCAATAAAGAAACGTGTGGACTCACGTACATATATGTAGGCATGTGTGTACTGCATATATAAATATATTCATATATCCATTTTGCGAATCTCCCGCTTCTGCCAGCCTCGGAGCCTTCCTCTTCTGGCTTTGCCTCCGCCGCCGGGCTTGCCATCAGGCCGCTCAGGCTAGGGGTTTGGTTTGCAGTAGGGTTTAGGATTTAGGATTTAGGGTTTAGGGGGTTTAGGGTTGGCTCCCTGGTTTGACAGTCTCTGGCGATTGCACAAGTCCAGATGCAAAAAGGGTTGATTGGAATATCTGGAAGTGACCCCAAAATGAGAGGATCGTGATTGCAAGGGCCCGCCCTCGTTTCAGGGGTCGTTCCCGGTGTCGAGCGATCTTCCCTGTTTTGCTAGAGGTATCGACCTTACATCGTTACATGTTGGCCTCTTTCAAGCTTTTGGGCATTTCGAAAGTGGTGTTGGCGCTGAGCTAGCACAGCCCGTCTTGATCCAAGAAAAGAGGGTTGGATTCCACCCGCTATTCGAGCATGCCACATCCATTGGTTTCATTTACGCCCGCCCATACTTCCGAGCAAAAACGGGTCTTATGTTGTAGGTGTTAGGTACCTGTCGTCTGCTCAAACAACTCAGCTTCAGTGAAGATATTGGACATGATCCTTGCTGAACTCTGCAGCAGTGACAGTAGTGAAGGTAACAGCACCCTTGTGTTCTTTCTGTCTCCAATTCATCGCTTGAGACACATGGTTCGATTCACCAGCCATGCAAAACTCACTTCGAGCGTCGTGCAAAACCAGTTTGCTCATGTCGAGCAAAGTTGCGAATACGGTCTTGGTATCGTCATCTTCATTTTCAGCACCACCATCACCAATCACCAGTCAGTCTTCCCCAGTTATCATCGTCTTCATCCGAAGCTTTGTTGTAATAGCAATCGTGACCATGCTGGCAGTGATCCTTCTCATGCTGGCCTGCCACTACTCCCGTAGGGCCTTACAGCCGCTCCAGCTCAGGTCAAGGAGGTTCTTAATTACAGGTTTTTGCATTCAGGACAGTGGGCTGTCGGTTTCGGATTTGGGAACTCTTGGGCGGGGTTCGGGCTGTGGAGCAGCTTAGCGTTTCGTAGCGACTGGTACTGCAGATAACCCCACGGCCGTATCCTGATCCTTTTTTTTGCGAGGTTTTCGTCGGCCAATCACAGCAAGACAACGACATTGATCATTTAGTTTAACAACATATTGGAGGTAAAAGAATGCTGAACCCTAAACCCGAATCCCTAAATAGTAAGTGGTAAGTAATTCGAGGCCCGAAGTCGAATGTGCCAGGGGTCTCGCCAACTCCTCCGGATCCCTCGCCGCCACGAAGGAGGCGGGTTTCCTTTGTAGGGTCTAGAGTCTAGGAACGAGGAGTTTAGGGTTTCAGGGAGGTACCCGGCAGTTGCAATAGGCCTGGATGCAAAAAGGGAATCTCGCAAACATGATCGGATTCATTTTGCACGGATTTAGGGCTTTGCAGGTACGTACATGTGACATCATTCCGGATGCTTGGCCTGAAGTCCCTTACTTACTCACTTCGTGAAGGGTTGGGATGTACTGCCACGATCGCGATCGGCGGATTTGTGGGGGTTCCTAGCTGAAGCCCTCTCTGCCACGAGGCCGAAAGTGTCTTCTGCAGCTAGTTGACACCTCTCCACCAAGCCCGGTTTTCGAGCTCTGCGGAGCTTTGTCTCCAAATTGTATTGTCCGCTTTCACACCCCGAAAGCCGCAATGGAACACCGTTAAAGCGACCCCAACCAACAGATATCTTCTCTGACTTTGGGTTCACGCCCCTGAAGCCCGAAAGCTAAAGCAAGCCTCGCACGACTCCCCGGAAAAAGTTGATTCGTAGGATTCTGATTATGATTAACTAATTTTAGAGCAATGGGGTTATTATTTGCACACACACACACGTTTAGATGATAGGAGGAGTATACCACATTATGTTACAAAACTATAGAATACTGTGACAGACCCCCGCGCCACCATGACGCACAAGAGGCGCCGGCGTGCCTCAGCCGACCTGTCGGAAGAGGCCACGAAAGCCGCGCTTGCCGAGGCCCTCCCTGGGTTTAGGCTGGCTCGGAGATCTGCCTAATATAGGGGCCTCAATAATTACCTATAGTATTTTGGGGGTTCCTTCTTATAAGCAAAGTATAATGGGCCCCAAAACCTCTGATTGTTGAGGCCCCTACATTAACACCAAAAAGGGTGGCTCTGAGAAGTGAGTGAACATGAACGGCTTCAGACCAGGCGTGCACCCAACAAGCTTGCTGCAAAAAAAGCGTGGCTCTGAGATGATCCGGAAGGGCCAAAGCAGCTAAGCAATAACGCGATGTTTTCCATTTGGCAAAGACGGTACCACGGAGAGGGGAAGGAAGCATTCGACCACTCTGGGAGCTAAGAGGCCTTGAGTCAGCTAGCTCGCTGTTTCTCTTACTGCTCCTGCATCTTGATTTATTCGCTATCCGCCGTAAACCCTAAGCCCCTGGTCCCTGCTCCCCTTGGCTAGTCCTTCCCTAAACCCAAAACCCACTCCACGCTTGCCGACTGCCCGTTTACCTTGACAGGCCGAAGCTCATCAGGTGAAGATTCAGAAGCTGAAGCAGGACCGGTTTCAATAGCATTAGGGATTAGGGTTTAGGGGTGTTTCCTTGTCTCTTCAATAGCGCGCTTTTGGGTACCCCTTCTATGATCGGACGCCGCGCATGCAGGTTTCGCAAGGGGAAAGACGTGTTTGGGTTTGCTACATTTGGAAGTTTTCAGGGGGTCTGCATTCTGTTGTGGGCCGCACACATGCTGCACGGGTCAAAACCGAGTTTCACCCTCTGTCAGATGAGCTCGCGCCCGCGGAGGATGATGTCAGGGGCGCTCAAGGCTCCCGCTGGCTCAGCATCTTCTGGCAGCTGGTGCTGCATGGATTCTGCGCCAGCTTGGCCTTGCTGTCTGCGGCCACGGGCCTCGTGGATGTTCACAATGGGCTGTGTTGAGAAATCTACGAGTTTTGGGCGATGGTCATGTGGTCGGGCGACTCCACTCGTCCGCCGATGCACCGCACATCGTCCTCTCCACGATCGTTCCAAGAGGCACCAAGGAGATCCTTGAAGAACTGGGCTGTAGGGTGCGCAACCCCAACACCGAATCGGTGTTCGGGTTGTAGACGGTACAGCCCAGTTTAACTATGTCCAAGCCTTCCACTCTGCTGATCTTTGCAAGCAGCTGTCGCCCGTGCAAGCCATCGTCTACCAGAAGCGCAGCCTTCTGGATGCACAAACCTCCACAGCCAAGCTGGCCGTGGCCATGACACAGGACCTTCCCCAATCATTGCTTCAAGCCCTGTTTGTAGTCGGGTTCGGGGTCTCCGCGACGGTATTATTCTTCATCCTTCCGCATCTTCGCCTGCCTTCTTATCCGTCCTTGTGTCCTGAGCTTTGAGCAACGCCGAGGAAGAGGAGGCCTGAGGAAGGGTGCCGGCCCATTCTCACCAGAATGTGATATTCTCGGGGTTTCGGGGTTTAGGGTTTAAGGCTTGAGTTTGGGGTTCAGGGTTTAGGGTTGTAGATCAGATCTAGAATCTAGGTCCCTGAGGTCCCACACGGTTTTGAGGTGTTTGCAGTTCAGGTTCACTGCGCTATGAGTATCTCTAGGGTTTAGGGACCTAGGCATTTGATGAGGGCTCGAGGGCTCTTGCTACAGCCGGCATGATTTTTTCTGGTCCTCGACTCCCACGGGGACTCCGACAGCCCGCGCACATTGCCCTGGCAGATTGAGAGAGGCCAAAGACGAAAGAAATACACTGTGGTGTAAGCACAGCGAGAGAGAGACGCACAGGTCATCATCGTGGTCGCAAGATAACGACAGCCGGGGGCCAGTGACATCGGCCACAGATAATGGTTTCCGTTATTTTTCACCAAACCCGTAAGCCCGAATAGCCGATCAGCCACTTAAGCTTTCCAGGATCACAAAGGGACAGGTTTGAGCAACGTGCGATTTAGCCGCCCCAAACCCTGCATCCCGCTATCTGTCACGTAAGCGTGGCAGGACCTGGAAAAGAAGCGGCAGGGCTTGCAGACGAAGCGCACTACACTCGCAAGCTCCCACGAGGCCGCAGAAGAGGATTCTGAACGGTTCTTGGTTAAGGTTTGGGCTGCAATGTGGGTTTGGGGCTTTAGTTCATCAATGTGTTCAGTTATCCTGAATTGGCTCTCCTCAACCGCCCCTCAAACCTTCGGGCCGTAGGTTTTAGTCTTACAAGAAGGGCCTCGGCAGCCTTGTCCTTTTTTTGGTTTTTGCCAATTTCCTGGATATGTCACATCAAAGTTTGGTCCCTCAATAAGCCTACAAAAAGGGTCTCAAATACTCTAGACCCTAACCCTTTCAGAGACCCAAAGACTGCTTTCAGGGCCTCATCAAGGAGTCGCCGACGCCGGCACCCGCCAAGCGTCCGTACCAGGCGGAGATGTCTGGCTTTTGGTTTTGGGTTTAGGGTGTTCAGGGGATTGGGGTTTAGGATCAGGGTTGAAGGTTTAGGCATACGGGTGTGGGAATGCTCTTGGGCTGATGCCCATGGTCATGCAGGACCCTAACTTAAATCAAAGAATCCGGCATGATTTCTTCCGGCGTTTAATGCTCTTCTGAGAAGGAGGACCTTCGCTGCATGGGTCTCGTGCAACACTGTCGTAGTTTCGATATGCTCATTCCGATTGTCAGAAGGGGTTTGTCTTCTAACGAAGACCAAGTGCTCTGATGGTGTGAATTGAGCCCAATCGCACAGCCCCTAAGACCCTAACCTGTGCACGGTTCCGACCCTTCTAAGACTCTAATTAAACTGTTCACGGTTCCTACCCTTTATTTTTTTCAATCTGTGGACCGGTACAGCGGTTGTGTAGCGTTTGGATGGTGCTGATAGCTGATGACATGTGGATCCTTGCCTTTCACGCGCTGCCGGCCTGGTAGCGATGTTCCTCCCATGGTGTATGCGAAGTGGTGCCATGAGGAGCTCAACGGGAAGACCGAAGACGACATGGGCATTGATCTCTTGACGGGTGTGGTGACCAGCAGGTGCCCTGCATCCCAAGTGGGGCGGGTGCCATGGACATTGCACAAGGCATGAGACTTTGAAGAACTGGCAGACGGAGGCGAAGTGTCGGAGCTGCAGGTCGCTGAAGGACCTTGAGAACTTGCACGTTTTCGGGCCCCGATGGGGCATGCTGGGTGCGCTTTTAGACGGACATCGTGCACAGGTAGGCGGTCGGCCTGATAATCAAGGACCCGGAGGAAGAGTTCCGGAAGACATGTGCGAAGTCCAAGAACTCCTGCGCGAAAAGTTGGAGGATACCGGGAATCGATTGTGCCGGGGGCGGCGCCCACGGCATCCATGACATCTTCATTTGGGGCACGAGCCTGGCGCAAGTCCCCGGGTTTATCTCGCAAGGACATACAGGTATCACATATATAAATATACACATACATACACACATACACACATACACACACATATATATATATATATATCACATGTATATAGAAATATATATATATAGCCATCTGACAGTTACAACATGTGTTTGGGTGTTGTTTTCATGGCAACAGTGAGTTCGGCGTCGGTTTCGGAGGGCATCGGTTGCCACTCCCACTGCCGCCTCTACCACGACAAAGGTCCCTGGAGTGCTGAGACGACCCATCAGGCAACCTTTTCGGGGCTGGGGTGGTAGGCAACCTTAAATCGGTTTCGGGCCTATGCCTACGCCTTAAGCTTGTTCCGAGCAGGCCCCGATGCCGAAGGTGCTCCCGAAGCCTGTTGCCAAGCAGGCAGCGAAAGGCACCTCTCCATGTCTTCATTTGCTTGTGGCTTTGGCTTCTGACCTGTGGGTGCCGGCTGCTGTTGCAGTTTTGGGTCAGTGTTGTGTTGAAGCGGTCAAACCCTTTGGTCGCTGTTCTAGCTAGTGGTGTCGTGTTGTTGGTGGCGGTCGTGGTAGTAGTCGTGAGAAGGGATGACGATGATGATGGTTGGTCGTCGTCGTCGTCGTCTTCGTGCTCGTCATTCCCATTTTGTTATTTGTCAAGAGTTCCCTTTGCATGCCTAGCTCTGTGCCCTGACTACATGTCGCGTGAGTCAGCGCATTGCAGAACGGCTGATTCCTAAAGCATGAGCCCAAACACGTCGAAGCCGCATCACTGAACTGCGTCGCTCTCTATCACGAGTGGCATCTCGACATACCGTAAGGCTTCCAGAGAATGCGAGCTTGCCGGCCCTGTCAAGAGAGGTCCGGCTACCTCAGTGGACGCTCCTTCCGAGAGTGAGGCCGTCCGACAAAGCGCAAGAGCCACGCGCTCCTTGCTGCTTAGTTTCAAGCGTTTCAGGCAGGATGAAGGAATTTTCAGGGACCGTTCCCAAGAGTTGCACCTGCAGATTTCCGGATGAATTCCGAAACCATTCCTACTGCGACGACGACGACGACGGCTTCTGCTGCTACTGTTTCAGCTGCTGCTAGTATGTTTATTACTACTAGTGTGGCGGCTGCTGCTGCTGCTGCTGCTGCTGCTGCTGCTGCTGCTGCTACCACTACCACTACTACTACTACTACTACTACTACTACTACTACTACTCCTAGTCCTGGTCCTTCTCCTGGTCTCCTGGTCCTGGTGTCCTAGTGCAAGTCCACGTCCGAGAGTCCTCCTCCTTTCGCTGCT